TTCCACGCTGCAGTAAAAACAGCCGGAGCCACACTTGCCAGCATCTTCCCACTCCTCCCCTGCTTCAGGCTGAATCACCAGGTGCTTTGGGTAACACAGCCCAGCCCTGCCAGGATGGGGAGCAAGGGAATGGTGGCTCTGACCCCAAAGCAATATGTCTGTGTCTTGAAATCAATAAATATGCCTTATAAGAAACATGAAATCCGTTTCAGAGCTTGACGCAACCCCCTGTTCTTCCAGCTTTACATACTCTAACAGAGAGACCACAGCATAAAATCAGAGAAGCAAGTTTGGAAAGGGCTGTTTTCCTAACAACACCCTGGAGTCAAAATCAGACCTCTGAGTCTGCCTCTACAGACAGAAAGGTCCTTCCCAAGCAGAAAGCCCACCGGCACAGCAAAGCCCCCAGCAAGCAAAGGGACAGAGACCCTGAGCAGCCAGCGCAGGGCCAGGAGCAGCCATTCCTTCCACTGCCTACAGCTGATGCCTGCAAAGTCAAGAGGTAAAAAACAGGGAGGAGGAAAGTGGTGATGCTAAAAGAATTAATGCCTCTTGAATCAAGGGGCATTGGTAATCTGGGAGGAGAGGGATTTCATCAGAGAAGACCCCCAAGATGCAGGTGGGAAGCAGCTGCAGTTCCACAGCACAGGCTTAAACAAGTGATGCTACGGATGTATTAGACACCCTCCAGCTGAAAGCACAACCATAAGCCATTGTTAATTCACACACACTACACAACCCTGCTGCAGGGTGCTGTGAGAAGGGAACTGATGGTGCAAATCCAGAAGGGCCAGCCAGGGGAAAGGCAAAAACGTGGAACTAAATGCAAGGGTCCAACCCCCCAAAAAAGAAAAAAAGCCTTATTCTTTCTAGCTAGAAATCCTGCTCTTATCAAAAAAGCTGAGCCTCCACTGAGTTTTTCCAGCTGGCTCCAGGTCAGGCTGCCCCCAAAAGCTGTGTCCAATTCTGAAGGCAAAATGCAAGGTAGTTCAGATCGCCAACAAAATTTTCCTTTGAGTAGAAAAGCTGAATCCTTTGACACACTGTTCTCAGCTCTGTCACCTTTTGCATTATAAATGGATGTGTCTCTCTTCTGCACTCATCAGTGAGGTGCTACTGGTATGACTGGGAGTTGGGCCCAGTTTCTATACCAATATGTCTCCTTGTTAAAAAGGAAAGCTATTAAACTTTCTATGACAACCTGGTAGGACCCTCATCCAGTAAGCCACCCCTCCACAGCAGTCCCAGAGCACTGGTTTATCAAACCATCCTACTTGCACAGTCTTTCCAGTTACTGCTTGGATGGTCCAGAAGAATTTGAGAAACTTTTATCCAGAGAACTTTGGTACCATTGCTTTACTCTTCACAGTAACTGGGCTTCTGCCACGCCAGCCTTTGCTGATCCTTCTAGGATGCTACCTGAGCAAGAGTCACCAGAGATCTAGATCATGAGCTCTCTTTGGCTTATGTGCTTGCTCTAAATAGATATTTATCTAATTCATCCCAGTAGGACTATCTGAATGAACGGGGAATGAGCTGGCTTATTTATAAGCCAATTTAACAGGTAAAATGCATACCACAGCCACCCAGAATGCTTCGCCCGAAGAACAAACAAAGTAGGGAACAAGGCTGTCAAAATAGCCGTTTTGAGAGTTGGGGAGTTGTAACGATTCAACTGTTGGATTTTCTTAAATTATCCTTTGATACAGCTGGGAAGAACACATGCAATTCAAAAGCGCTCTGCTTTAAATGAGTATGTATGTGATCATGCAAGTTAATCAAGGGATGCAGAAAATTCCTTCAAACTTTAGGAAAGAAAATGAAAATACCTCCAAACAGTATGTGTTGGATCTCTAGAAAGTACACTGCAAGAGTCCTTAGAATTTTGTGGTCAAATGGGAACAGGTTCTGACAAGTGACACCAAGCAAAGTTTTCCCTCTAAAAACCAGAGCTTTTGAGTGATGGATTATTTCGAAGAGCAGGAATAAGCCTCTTGAGAGCGTGCCCCTGACCAAGATCCACCCTGCACTGCTGTCAGCTCTCTGAGTGCACCTTGTGAAGCCTGGTAAATAAACACCGATGCCTTTTCTCACTCTCATGTCATTTACTTAACACCAAGTGCAGTGTTTGCTCTGCTTGCTAATTCTCCTGGTTTTTCAGGCTAGGGATGTGGTGACAGAAGAATCTCCGGTGACACACTGATATCTGCTGAAATTTCCATGAAGAGAGACAAGAATTAATCCATGGGCTGATTTTTCATTCATCTCAGCTGCAATGCTCCTGACCTGCACCACAGTAAATGCAGCAAGAAATATCAAACCAGCGGGATCTTTCATTCATAAAGTGGCAAAGAGAAGAAAAACCTCAGACAGAAGTGTGCAGAGAGAATAGAAAATGTCTGATATTCACAGAGCACAGAAACTTTCTGGAGGAAGATAGATCCCACCAGACACCAGTCTGCCCACTGAAATGCTTAAAAGCTTCTGGAGAGCCTGAGCACAGATGGTGCAACACAACTGCCCTGTCAAGTCTATGTATTTTGGGACTTCCCACTGGAACTGATGAAGCTGCAGTGATTTATACCCGCTCCAAGATGGCCTGGGGCCCATTTCCATTTGCAAATAACTAAGAGGACATCTCCTGGCATCAAGCACCACACGGGCTCTAAAAGCGCCTCGTAGATCTTGCTGTACCACATTACCTTTGATTAACATGATATTCGTGGTGCTCCTTACTCCATTAACTGCTGACAGAAAGCTGTTTTCTAAATAAATTAATACAAGAAGGCAGCATCACCTCTGGATCCCGGGCACACACAAGTTGCGTAAATCCACAGACCTCAGTGACATTTCTTAGCTTTTTTCTGACTTCAAAGCATCTCTGCCTGTTGGCTGCTCTCAGGATTTGGCCACAGAAAAATGGAGCAGTCGGGAAGGCTGTTTGGCATTGCTAGAAAAGGACAGGAGGGACCCTGCTGCTGCAGGTGGCAGGTGATGGAGCAAGGGCGGTGGGATTCGGGAAGGCCAGCAAACCAAGGCTTGGGAAAGAACGTGGCTTGCAACAGGAAAAGATTAAGGATTCTCTCTGCTTCTGTTTTAGTAGCAAATATTTTGCTTTGCAAATGCAAACAGATCTTCGTCATATAGCAACTCCCTGGATACTTCCCACAAGCACTGCGGGCTACAGGAATTCCCGTGGACCCCACAGCAGTACGTTCACAATGCCTCGAGAAGGCGACTCCCCACAAAAGTTTCTCTGGCAGCTATCACAGAGGCCCAGTCAAGAAAGCTAATGACTAATGCTGTCTGCTTGTCCCTGTCTTGGCTTTGATGCCTGCTGTACCCTGGGCAGAAATTAAGAGGCACTAGTAGTGTTTTCCAGCCTCTAGTTCACCCCAGATGCGCCAACCAACAGGAACAAAGTCATGCCTAGTGTACATAGGATTTGTGATTCTTAAAAGAAGAGCTCCCCCCGCATCCCTGATCCCGTCTGTGCCAGTGACAGTCTGGGTGAGCTGAGGTCTAGATAATACCTCTGCTAATTAGCCTCTGACTGCTAACAATCATTACAGCTGATTCAACAGACTGCGTAATGTCAGTTCACAGGGTTGGTCTCTACTGCAATCTGCAGAGATGCTGCAGGGGTTTACAATTCCAGGACAGTTTGTGCCTTTAACCTGGGCAATCCCATCCTGGGCAGTTAAATCCCATGTAAAAGTATAATTGAGCTCACTATTTACCTTCCACTGAAGTCAAGACCTGTTTCTGCTTCACTACAAGAGGAACTGGACAGGCTGCCTAACCTGCTCCCCTTTCAGTGTCGAGGCAAAGCAGACAGTGCTCCCACCCCAGAGTCTTGGTTTAAGGCAAAAGGAATGTGAAAGAGATGCTAGCGGAGAAAAGAGGGAGAGCCCCATGAGCCCCTGTAAAGAAAACCCATGATCCTGACCCAAAGCAGAGGGAAGCTTCTTGCTCGACTGCCCAAAAAGAGAGCAGAAGCTCGCATCACCATGGCATCACCGACCTCTTCAGCCTCTTCCTGAGTACAGTAAATCTAGGCTGATGTTCGCTGTGGTCGGGATACCGATCTCAAAACCAAAAGCAGCCTCTGGCAGGCATGACCCAGCCCCAGGAGGGCATCCAGCCATGGGATGAGAAGTACCAGGGACTCTGCAGAGGATAGCCAGCTACAACAGCGCTGGGCAACAACCCGATACCCTAGGAGAGATGGTCAAGAATAACTGCTCTACATCACTGTCGGTCCACTGCCTAAGCCAGAAAGCTTTCAAACCTACTTAAAAGCTACTACCAAAAACCACGAGCTCCTGTGAGACCTTTCCAACATGCATTGGCAAGAGTAAAATGCTCTTAAAGACAGAGCTTGATCAACTGATGGATGGAATTTCAGGGCTGTCAGAGATAGAGATGCACTGCGTGACCCTTGAGGTTCCTTCCAGTCTGTTTGTGTATGTATGTGTGCATCTATCTATCTATCTATAAAAAAACATTGGCAAGCTGCTGAGCCTGTACTCACCACACACTTCCCAGCTAAAGGAAGACAGCCTTGAATGCGCAAAGAATAAATGATTCAGCTCCATCTTGTGTCTCTGCTTTTGACATGCCAAGCAGTGCTCTAGCTCGTCAGGATAAAATCCAGACAGCTGTAATGTATGTGCAAAACTGGGACAATTCAGATTAAAAAAATCCATTCTCCTCTATCCTTCTCTGATTATTTACCCCTCTCCCAACAGCTGTCCCGAAAAAAAGATAGGAAGAGAGAGGATTTCCCATGACCTGTGTCCAGCTTACAAATCTTAGCTCCCTGAATTGTGTTTGATCGTGCCTCAGCACAGACTATTTTGAAACGATCATCTGCGAGAAGCACACAATCAGGGCTCTGTCAGAGGAAAGCAAAAATTGGGGCAGTTCCCGAAGAGGTTTGTAAAAAGCCCTTCGGTCTCGTTCCCAAAGCGAAGCATGCTGCACTTGGCAGCAATTGCCTAGGGCCCGGCAATCACGTACTGACGCGTGAACGCTGCTTTCGAGAACAACAGCTCATCAAGACATTCTCGGGTCATGGCAGACTGCAGCGAGAATCACAGCTCCTCAGGTCAGAAATTAAGAGCACAGATGTATCCCAAAGAGTATTTTGCACTGAGAGGTGCTATAATCATGGAGGAGTCAAAAGCTGATGACTCTGTCCTTTCCTACGAGCTGTAGGTACTCATCACAGCCACAAGACCAGGTAAAAAGTCACCTTTCAGCAAGTTTGTCTTGCTGCCAGAGGCCTGTCCCCTCAAAAAAATGACACCCAGGTACTTTTGCAGGCAGTTCATCACTCAAACCCTCAGGTGGCTTGGTTCCTGATGCCCGGTCCCAACCAGGATAATGACTGAAAAGTGAACAGCCTCTCCCCTTCTCAGGGAGCAATCTGAGCTCTGGCCATGAAATCCCCCCTTCAGTTATACCACACCGCCACATTTGATTCAACAGACTCTTTTCCCTCTTGTAACAAGCAAACATCAGGGAGCAGCAGTAAACCCTTGCAGAAACACAGACTCGCTCAAGGCAGGTATGATTTCACTTTCGGATTTCCAAAAATCTGAGAGAAACTGCATGAAAATCATCATTTCAAATAACGTTACAGTTCCATATCTGTTAGCTACACCAGTGAAATACTGCACTGCTAAAGCTCTGCCCTGTGAAAAGATATTTTGAAAGAGAAGTTAAGCATTCAAGGAAGAATAAGCTGTCCTAATTGAGAACACAAGGACAGGACCTGAAGTATCTCAGTACTTGCATATAAAGTCGTCCAGATCCTCATTGCATGTATCTCAGTAAGTGCTTTGCTGCATCTGAGTCAAAGCAGGAAGGCGAAGTCAAAAGCTTACAAAAAGGCCTGGTGCCCATTAGATTTCTCTCATTTTGGAGAACACCACCGACAGCTGGACCAGGCTCCACTCCTGCTCTATGTCAGCACAGACTGAACGGGTTCCTCCTCCACTAAGAGCTGGGCCGGGAGGAAAAGATTTTGAAGAACAGGCTGCTCTCACACAGCAGGCACTTACTGGGTTTCCTAACAGGCCAGAGGAGCAAGATGCTCACAGCATCCGATGGTTCATGTCATGTTAACACGCCAGTGAAGAGGAGCCCCTGTGTTCCTGGGAGCGGTCAGCAGTCACCAGTGCTGTGGTGCACCCCAGCAGCCCAACACCGGTTGGGAGCGGCGATTGCACCCCGTGCGTAAGGACGAGGCCATGGGGCACCAAAACTGCTCTGGCACATGGGCTTCATCTTTGTAAGAGCGCACGGAAGCCGGGAAGGAGGTGTTCCTGCTCCCAGTAAAAGGAGGTCAGGGCGATCCCTTTCCTGAAGCAACAGGCGTCACCGTACCCTTTCCTCCTCCACTGCAACATAACGTGGTTACGCTCTTCTTCCAGCCCTCTCAAGGGGTATCATGACAAGCGATGGCCTGTCCCTCCACACACCCACTGACCCAACACGGGGCTGCCCTTCGCCACGCAGCCTGCCAAAGCATGACAGGGACGTTCCTGGAAAGCAAGCCAGCCCAACCCCTTTGGACACGGAGCAGGTCATGCACCTCCCCATCTCCCCCAGCCTCCACCACTCCTTGACACAAGTCCCCCCCATCTGCTCCTGCCTGCGCACATTTGCTGGAGCGGGGGACAGTTATTTCAATGTTCATCCGAGGAGTGACGCCCATTCCCTCGTGCCCTGTCCGCCCGCGTCCCAGTCACTTCTGCCCCAGTTCCTTCGGCACGGGTGTCACTGGTACAAGGAGGGAGGGAGGCAGCGGGGTGGATGGAGCTGAGCTGAAGCTAGTGACAGTTGCATCCCTGCCGCAAGCGCTGGGACCCTCTCCTCCAGCAAGGATGCGTGTGGGAGTGAGTACGCTCAAGAGGAGCTGATCAGTATTCAGTGAAAGGCTCCGCTACCGTGCTGCCGCCCCTCCTCCTCCCAATGACTCGGTGTGCGGGAGGAAGCAGCAGCTCATCCTCAGCAGCACCCCACAGCACCCCACTCCCACGTCCCCGTCCTCCCCCGCGGCGGATTTCACACCTCCCTCCTTGCGAAAGCATCGCTCCCCGTCGCTTTTTCCAGCTCCGTGGTGCCGGTGTCCCCGATCCACCCCCGAGCCATCACTCCCAGTCACTGCTGGGGAGCAGTGCATGGGAGCCGGCCAGCACGATTTGGGGACCCACGGGGAATATCACCCACCCGACGCCAGCCCCCCCTCATGCCGGGGTGGGCGGGCAACTCTCCTCCCAAGCGAGGGTGCAAAACGCAGCCCTGGTGTGGGCGGCGATGCTCCCACCGTGCCAACTTGGGGAAGGTGGACCGCGTGGGACGAGACGTGCTGGACGGGCAGCCCTCTCCCAACCGCGGGGCTCGGCCCGGGCTGCTGGCAGATGCCACCCCGGGGCCAGGACCCACCTTGTGGAGCTTCCACATGGCGCCCAGGGCCTTGACTTCGTGGCTGGAGTGCTTGCCCTCCTCCAGGCACTGGTAGCAGACGGGGCTCTTGCACTGCACGCAGTACATGCTGTGGTTCTCCAGCTCGTGGTCGGTGCAGGTGGAGATCTTGCGGGGGCTGAGGCGGCGGCTGACACGACCCTGGGCCGGAGGGACCAGGCGATGCTTGGCCAGCGGCCCCCGCGGCGGGTGGCACCGCAGGCGGCAGGGATCGCAGTAGAAGACGTCGCACTGCTCGCACATCACGGCCGCCTCCTTGGGCGCCTTCTCGCAGAGCTGGCAGCGCAGAGCCGCCGCCCTGCCTTGCTGGTAGCGGTCGATGACGCCCTCCAGCAAGCGGTTGCGGGGGAAACCCCGCAGGCCGCGCTCGTCCAGCACCAGGCTGCGGTGGCACTGCGGGCAGGTCAGGCAGGCGTTGCGCGGCGGCGGCGGCGGCGCCAGGGCGGCGGGGGGCGGCGGGGCGGCCGGCGGGAAGACGCGGACGCCGTTGGGGGATTTCTGGCAGGGGGTGGTGGGAGCGCTGGCAAAGCCGCCGTACGAGCCGTAGCCGCTGTCCGCCTCGCTGTACAGGCTCATCTTATCCAGGTCCAGGTAGTCGTAGTCGGAGACGGCCGAGCCCGAGGCGCGGCGGCTCTGCGGCGACTCCGACTCCGGCGTCTGCACCAGGATGTTGCGGGCGCACGCCTGGCACAGGTTGTGCGAACAGGGCAGGATGATGGGCTCCCGGTAAAAGGAGCCGCACACCGGGCATTTCAGCTCCTCTTCCATCTCTTCCATAGGGGAGGGAAGGAAGGCGGCGCGGCACCGGCGGCGGCCGCGGCAGAGCCAGAGGAGCGACCCGCACCCCACCGCGCCTCAGCGCCGACTGCCGCCCGCCCGCCGCCCGCCCCGCCCCACCCCGCCCCGCGCCTCGCCATTGGCCCACCGCCGGCGGGCGGGAGGGACAGGCGCTTGCGATTGGCTTCGCCGCCTGCCTGTCCGCCCCCGCCCTCCCCTCCCGCCCACCGGCGGCGCTGCGGGGGTTTCTCCTCAGGGCTGCGGCGACGGGCTGCGGGGTCTGTCCCCGGGGTCTGTCCCCGGGGGTCCCGTCCCCCGCCCGCCTCGGCTCTCCCCGCCTCGGTTCTCCCCGCCTCGGCTGCCCCCCGCGCCCAAGGGGGGACCGTCCCTACCGCCATCGGCTTTTCGCTATCCCTGCGGGTCGCCCGCGGTGCCCGCAGCAGCCTTGCCCCAGCCCCGGGGGTACCCCCTAAGATGGCGGCGCTCCGGTGAGGGGCTTCAGGGGCCTCGCTGCCGGCAGCCCTAAGCTGTGGGCTCCTGGCGTGTTAGGACTCGCGCACGGCCCTCAGGGCGTTGCTCAGCCTAAAGGGAAGGTGGCCTCGCCTCCTCGTAGAAAAGCCCCGCAGGTCTGACGGCGGGAGGTTGTTTGCAGCTTCCCCCCCTGTTCGGTTTTTAAGGGGGCCGGGTGGGTGAGGCTCCAGCCCTGGGCTCCTGGCTGCGTGGCGGCAGCAGCCCTGTGAAGGGCAGTGGAACGAGAAGGAACCCCCATGTCCACGAAAAGCGTATTTGGGGGGGAAGTTTTGCAGAGGACGGGGCACCTGTGCCTCACAGGGGGCTCTTGTGGTTTCCCGTCTGGCAGCATAAGGGGACGGTCAGAGCTGGGAGTGCTGGAGGCGAGAAATCTGCTGAGGGACTGTGCCATGAGGCTGTAGTCATAATTATTAGAATAGCCACACATATCTGATAGAAGCACAGCCAGGATTGCATGGGCTGGCGTGATGTGGTCCCTGAGCCAGTGATGCCCTCGTGGGGCTGGAGAGCGGGGAAGGGGCCTGGAGGGTCTCCTGCTGCTTGGCTTCTCAACCGTCCTTTGAAGGTCGTCTAAGGCCTTTAAAATATCCTGGCAACATGCAGTGTGGCATAGTGGTGGCTTTTCAGCCAATGGAAAAAATAAGATTACTTGGAATGTCTCTGTGTTATCTCTCGTTTCCCTCTCTGTGCAGCTGTTTGGGGCTGCCCGTTAGCGCAGTTGCTCTCTGCTTCCCCTGACTGTGTCTTTGGAGCTCTCTTGGGAGAGGAGACGTGATGTGAGAAGGTCCTCGATATGGGAGCTTGTGGGCAGAGGTTCCAGCCTGGGGCTTGAAATTGGGACTTGGAGGGGCTGCAGAGTCTCTGCAAAGCTGCCGTGGGGGTGGAGGGGGTTGGCTCCTAATCCTGTATGTGGGGTGAAAAGGAAAGGATGAGCCCTTGCCAGTGTTCACAGGCAGTTACTAAGGGTGTGGGGAGACTGTCTTCAGAATCCTGATGTTCAACAGCTGAGCCGTAAGGTGACACAAGGGGGTTGGTGGCAAAGCTGGGGAAACTGAGGCAGGTTCACAGCAACTCCCCAGTAACCACAAGCAGGTGAAGGCTGGGTGCTGACAGACCCCTGTGACTGAGGTTTTGGCCAGTCTGGGGCCAAAGGCCAAGGCCTGAGCTTAGCTGGAGCTCCAGGACACTGGGCAGAGGGGTGAGGGAGCCCATCAAGGCAATTAAGTGCCCTCAGAGCCCTGACATAGCGTGTGACGGTCCCCACTGGTGGGGATGATCTCACGGCATCCAGGAGAGGCAGTGGTCTGCTTGGCGCTTGCCCACAAAACGGGACAGTCACCAGCTCTCTCTCCTCTGGCTGCTTGTACCTGCATGTCCAGGGTGCTGGGAACCAGCACAGATCCCACTACCCCCGAAATCAAGGTTATTTGCAGAAATAGTCAAGCCACATAGCGCTCTTGGGCGCACCCATTTCAATGGTGGTGAGACGCCAGAAAGTCCTGGGGGGCACCTTGGGGCTGTGCGTCCCCTTACTTGAGAATTGCATGCCCCTGACCCAGGGCTACCTTCTTGGGGAGCCGTTTGTTGGCTGCTGTTGCTGGGCCACACCTCATTTGAGTCTTGGGCAGATTAAAAGGGATGTGGTGCGAGTGGCCGTGGTGGCAGGGACCTATCGTTGGCTCCTTACTTCATCCCTCTGCGGGGACACAGGTGACTCCGCAGCCCGGGACTGCTGAGCCTGAGCAGCAGTATGATGTGGGTGAGCACAGGGATGGATAGCACGGGAGCGGAGGAGCAGGATCCCGCTGGAGCAGAGCTCCCGGCACGCCTGCCCCTTAGCTGACAGCTGGGGTAGGCACAGGAGAGATTCGAGTGGGATTTATCAGCTTGAGCCTTGAAAGGCCCAACCCTTGAGAGGCACAGCTTGGGGCAGGGGCACTGAGGGGCCTCTTCCCATCCCCAGTGGGTTTGTGCAGTTCCCAGGATCCAGTGAGCAGGTACAATTCCAAGCTCCCGCATTTGTATTCAGAAGGGAGAGAAGCCCGAGTGTCGGCATGCACAAGGAAGGCACCGCCATTTCTCAGCCTGAGAAGGAGGGACAAATGGTAAGGAGGAGAGGACTGCCCAAGTGTTTCCCTCTTCTCTGTGCAGGGGTGAGAGCAGGAGTGCTTTGTACTTTCCTTTCTGCTTTTCCAGGCTGCTGCTGGCTCCACACCGACCACCGACACCGTGGCTTCCCCTGGACTCTGTTGAGCATTCCTCATTTGCTCCCTCTTGGTGTCTGCTCAGCTGGTCATTTTTTTCCCTGCTCTCATTCCTCTAGCTGCCCTTTTGCTGAAGTAAAACCATCATTCCTTGTTTGCTCTGCCTCTTGTTTCCCATGGCCATTTTTCACTATGGCAGGTATATGATGCCATTTCTGCTGTAGTGATATGCTGATCATGTAAATGGGCAGAAAGAGGAAGAAGCCCGACAAAGAGGAATGCAGCCAGTGCATTTGGAAGCAACCCTTGGTTATAAAGGTGTAGCTGTTCTCTTCTTGGCATGGCAGCTTATGCCTTCACTTTCATCCCAGCAAGAGCAAGCATCCTCGTGCTCTGGCTGCATATTATTTACAATTGTCAGTCTTGTTACTGCCCTGACAACTGTGCAGCGTACAGCTATGATCCTGCAATAATTACTTGACCCAGCTTCAACATTCATTTGTCTAATGTCGCTGTGATCAGCGATTACAAGTTAAAGGATCAAGAAGTCATCTTGTTCTAAGCTGGCTCTTGCTTTTCTCACGTGCCTCTTGCCAGGAGCCTCAGCTTTAGGAGCAGCCCCAGCTCCCACTGCGGCACAGTGCATCTCTGTTTCTGTTGCAACCAGCCTCTGCTCTGGGGGACGTGGAAGACACCGCTGGGGTGAGAGGAATTTAAGTTGTTGGGAGTCTCTAAGCTGGTGATTTGTCTGCTGGTGATTTGTAATAACAAGAAGGACTGTTATGGACATCAACTGCCTGCTCCTGGCCATTCCTCTCCGCACCCCGCCAGCCTGCAGGTGTGTTTGCTTTGTCTGCTGGAAATACAGATTAGAAATGAGGATCAAGCTTGGAGATACCAACAGGAGCAAGATGGGGTGGTGGGCCATGCTGTTGGAATCGTATGTGGTGTGTTAACCGCCCTCAGAAAGATCGCAACACCACAGTGGTTCTGTTAAACCCATCAGAAAAGCACAGTAACCGGGGTGTGGTGCAAGGGGTGGAGGTGGCCGGTGGTGTTGGGACCTGCTCCCACAGCCCCCTCCAGCTCCCGTCCCAGCCACCTCCTTTGGCTCATGGCGGACATCTGCTGCGTTGTGTCGCTGGGTTGCTCCTTCAGAAATAAGAATATGGGGAAAGAGAAGATGGGCAGATGTCGTGAGGGCCGCAAGGGACCATGAGCTGAGAGAGGAAAAGGAATGGAGGGCACGAGAGCCCCTAGTCCTCCCAGTTCCCTGGCAGGATGGAGCTAAAGGTTGGAATGACAACCAGGACTTGCCCAGCACGGGGAGCTGGAAGGAATAATCGGGTGTCATGTTCTGGAGTTACCTTGGGGAAGGGAAAATCTTCATCACAAACCAGGACAAAACAGCCGAACCTCTGCATTTCCCCATGGAAAGTTCTGCAGTATTTTGTTTTGTGAAGTCCCCGTGGGAGGAAGCTGTTGGTGATGGTGACACAAAGGTGAGGTGGGCAGCTGGGAGCAGGTCCCGGGCCCACGCTGTGGGACCCACGGGGGACACAGGGCTCCTGGGCAGGGGGAGCACTGCGTGGCAGGGCACAGAGGTCTGGGAATCCTGCTTGGAGACAGGGGCTGTTTCTTCCGTTTTAACAGCTAAGTATTTTATTCCTGTTAATATTACCTTGATGACAAATAACCTAAACTTCACTTGCTTTGGGCAACAGTGGTTTCTCAGACCTCCCCTGCTTTATATTTATGTGTGTGTATGTGCAAACACGTCTGCTACAAAATTTTCCGCTGAGATCCCCACCAGCGAAAGGATTACAGGACAGAAGGAAGGCGGGACTCAGGAAATCAATAGCATTCACATCTTAGACTGGAGCGAGGAGCAGTGGGACACAAAGCTGAAGGCTGTCTGGCGCTAATTAATCTGCCAGCATCATCCCTGCGACACCGATCGATCTCCATCCACCGAGGCAGAGAGGGAGCCCGCCAGGATCTCCCCACAGGTCGGTTGCTGGCAGCGTCTCGGGGGGGTGATAGATTGTCTGGCTCCCACCTTCGCTCCCCCGCACTGCACGGGGTCCCTCGGGGTGGGATTTCAAGGGGAGAGGTGGACTGGGCAGATAACGGCGTGCCAGCACACAGGCACGTGTGTGCAGGTAACGGGTAGCTGGGAGGGTGAGTTTGGGTTGATTTATTAGGCTCTGAGCCAGGCTGGAGCTAATAAATAAAAGAGAGGAATGCGCCGAGACAAAGAGCTCTGCAGTCTCCTTTATTCATCGCACTCCCATAACACCTTGAAGAGATAAATAAGAGTGGATGAGGGCTCAAGGCTCCCC